TGTTTAAAATAAATACTTATAAGACAGTGAACTTTTTAAATTCATAACTAATGATCATAGCAAAAGAATACCTTTCTGTAACATTATAAACTATTAATTAACTAGTTTTCTTGCAATTTGTAGTTTGAATATGTGTGGCATTTTTACCTTTATACTTGCTGCACTTGTTAAATTTTATCATTTTTAAGTAATTTTTATATTTCAGAGCATGGTCAAAATATCGATTGAATTAAGTCCTTTGAAAGCCCCCCCCCCGTTTCATTGAATGCTTCACTTAAAATTACACATTTAATACATTATCTTGTGGAATTTTGAAACAATCTCAAAAATAAGAATAAACATCTATAAAATAAGTCAGCTTTAAGTAAACAACTTTAAACTTAAATGTAAACTTCAGAAACAGAAAACTTGCCTTTGCATAATAGTAATCTCTAAAATGCAATACAAATTGCTCCAAATTCTGTGCTAAACAACAAATACAGTCAAAAGTCGTTAATCCGGACTTGTCGGGTCTTCGGCAATTCCAGATTATCGATTTTTCCGGATTATGGATCATCAGTTTAAATCTGGTAGGATGGCATGCAGAAATTATAAAATTAAAAAGATGAAACCGTAATTTATGAAATAAAGAACAATTATGATCTAAAGGGTATCAAAATTAACAAAAAAAAAAAGCTTAATATTTATTTATTTACTTTATTAAACATTTCTTTCAATGTAAGTTGTTTAAGTTGCTTCATTTTTATGTGATAATACATTCTCTTTAATTCTATAAACAGACATAATTTCTTCTTCAGGTTACAAAGTTCCGCTGTTAAAGTCCTATAATTGCTGTGTCGAGAATACCGACTAATTTGTCAATCGAAATTTTTTCGTTTTCAATAGCCTCTGTATCACTTTCTTCTTTATCGGAAGCGAATTATAATGACGAGGAATTTGATTTAAATCATATCAAAGACGGAGTACATCGAGATGAAATACTGCATTTAGTAAGGAATTATAGGCGAAATAAAATAAAAACATCTGCCCTGAAGATAAGGATAGTGCTGACAGATTAACTTCCAATTAATTGCGCGCCGTGGCGTTTCGGCGTCCCCCCCTCCCCCGAGCTGCAGAGCAGCGTGAAATTGATAAACAGATTTCGGAATGGTTTGAGAAACGAAGGATGTGCCTTTATCCATTTTTTACAACAATTCCAATTTTTTTTAATAGACTTCTAAACATACTTTCGCTTAGTAGATCCTTTACATAATAGTAAATACATATCGGAAATTTTATTTGACATAATCGAAAGTTCAAGCTTTGCAAAAAATAATAAGCCGGATCCAATTCGAAGATTCAGGAACAACGCTATCTGCAACATTAACTGAATTAGATAATTTTAGCTTAGCTTGTCCGTTATACATTAAACGCGCAAGCGTAAACGTATTACGCACATGCGCACACTCATATTCGCAGCCGTAAATGTCTTACGCGCATGCGTCAGTGCGACGCATGCGCAGAAAGTTTGTAGCTTTGAGGTCTGGATTATGGGTGTCCGAATTAACGACTTTTGACTGTACTCATTTCTTCTTGCTTGATTGCTGTATGGAGGCAGCATGCAGGAAGGAAGATCAAAAATAAGGAAAATCTGGGTATGGTATGTTGCAGAAGAAAGTGAGGGATAAAGTTTTCCCTTTGTGCTGCATATGCTGCACAAACCGAAGTAAGTAAGATGAGGGCTTCCCTGCTTCCTGAGACTGAATCACACTGCAGGTTCCTTCACCCCATAGAACCAGGCACAGAGGTTCAACCTCCACCCTCGCACCTTGGAGAGAAGGATGCGTCGCCTAGGGCAGCGGCCATAGAACTTCACGAACCACTACATATATAATTTTATATTTGGCGGACCACTAATATGAATTGCAAAAAAAAAAGGTAAATACGTTTATAAAGTAATAATCAGCAAACTACACATTTTTCGTTCACATTGAAAAAGTACAAAAATCAAAATTACTTTCTTGTACAGAAAGCTTCACATTTCCGTATCGCTGAAAAGAACTTCTTGAAAAGCAAGAACAAATTGCAAATGCAAAGCAATATCAATAAACTGATAGTGTTATGCTGCCAATTTTTAATTAATGTAAACATAAGAATCATCGCTTAATCAGCAATAGTGCCATCGATCAACAGTTAAGACAAAACAAAAACAGAAACTTCTAGTGATGCACTTGTAAACAAAAATGAATGAACCATCTGCATTCTTGTTTATAATTCCATCAAGTTCCATTCATAAAAATCCATCAAGCTGCCTATTGATATGGAGAAAAACTGTGTTATTAACGACTACAATAGCATATATTTGTAATTCAAAATGAAAGAGAATTCCAGTTTGCACTAATGTTGATAACAGCAGCATATCCATGGATGCCAACCCTCACTTTCAAATGTTGCTAGATACACCTGCAAAAGTAGCTAAAAAGTCACTAAATTCAGAAAGAATTTTGCTAAAAGTGGTAGCTAAAATTTTAAAGAAGTATAATCCATATTCCATAATAGGTTTTGTTACTCGTCCTTTTTTAAACTGAATCTTCATAACAATATAAATAATGTCCCAGTTTTTCTGCAGACCAGCAAAAAGTTATCACGGAACACCAGTTGGTGACCACTAGCTTTGGGTGACACTGGTTGTCAGATTTGCTACCTTTTAGTCGCTCAGGCTGCCCGTCACAGTGGGACATTACCCAGCGAATCTGAGGGTGCTACACCACATTAGGACTTGCCAGTCCACCGGGCTAGGAAGTGAATGACCTTTCCAGGGCCTCCAGAACCTCTAGACAATCTCATAAATTTTATACCCCTGTGACCGAGACTGCCTAGGTACAGATCCTAGCTAGTAGCTTTGCAAAGTTCTCTACGTCGAGCCCCGGGGGTGCACACTGCATGCTGAAATGCATTATTTTATTAATGATGCTAGCATGTAGAGGCAGAATTTAGAGAGTTCTAACAATGCATTACTCGTTCTGTTTTGAATTTGGAATTCTAATTAATAGTACAATGCAAAAACTATATACTTAAAGTCATTAATAAAGATTTTACTGTATGATTAAGTTGAAAAATAATAATTCTTTGTACACAATTTCATATTTATAGGCATGCATCACACAGCCTAAGATGATGGTGCCCCTGCATAGTTGGTACCTATGTTAAATATTTAACTAAAATGCAAGTATCCCACATATGGTAGCCCACCAGTGTAGTAAAGCAGAAAAGTCAATGAACACTGGTAGTTTAATCAACGTTGTATTCCAAGTGAACAGGCTGGTTGCGTGCATGTTTTTGTATTTTTTCCCATGTCTAACATGAGCATGACCTAGTTCCCTTAGAAAGTCTTCCTTAAAGGTATCCCTTCTCATAGCCCTTGCATGCTTAGCCATAATCGAATAAAGCTAACCAAACCTTATGATGATGAAAGATAAAGTAACAAAAAAGTATGAAATTTTGTGAAAAGGAAACTGATTGTTCTGAAAATAAATATACATATACATTCTTCTAAACAAAATTTTGCAAAAGTTGTTAAAAATTTTAGTAACCATGTAAAGTTTTGTGTTAATTAACCCAGTTATAATATTAATTTGGTTGTACTTATACTTTGGTGCACTTCCTACAGAACGCAAATTATTTAAAGCAAAGTTCTTGGGTGTGGGGCAGCATAGGTGGGTTGCCACTTTAATTTGCTTCTCTGCTGGTTTAGTTTATTAGCTAAATCCCCAGCAAACTGCTTTTCGAATACTTAAACCTAAGCCAAGTTTGAATAGGGTGTGTTGAATTTGTATTTGGGATTCAATTGGAACTTCGTAATGTAGTCTGAATTGCCTACAAGCCGCCGTTTTTTTTTTTTTTTTTTTTTTTCCCTGTTATACTTTTAAATTTGTATTATCTTCAGATTGGTGTGCTAACTACATTTTATTTTAAACCATCACTTTGGGATGTGATATCTGTGGTTATTATATAGGTCATCGGACAGTCTTGGTAATTCTAGTAGATTTGTCAGTAAGTAGTGAAGAATCGTTTAACTGTAGTAGTAAAAAAAGCAGCTTAACCATTAGGATTTTTCTTCAGCATTTTTGGTTTACATAAATACCAGTATAAAACTTTTATATAGTAGATTATTGCAGAAAGGAAAAGAAAGGTATAAAATATTCCATCAGGTATTGGTTTCTGTTTAGTTGATTATAGCAAAGCACACTAGGGCTATCTGTCTAAGGGGGCTGCCCTCGTGGAGGATTTTCTAAGGGCAACTGGCTCATCTACACATTATATAGGGTGGGGAATTGTTGAGTGTTAAAATTTCTAAAGAATTTGAAAGCATATCACAAAATGTACAGCTATTTGCATTGATATTCATGTGTTTGAGAAATTAAAAGTTATTCCTTGTGGAGAAAGTATGCTTTTTTTAACATGTAAATTTGATGTATAAATAATGTAAAAAAAATCATGCCTAAAGTGTAAAGGTTTAATTTTTAAAAATTTTACATTCATAATTTCATTGATTGATAGTTTAGAAATAATTTCTTTAAATCTTTGTGTAAAGTTTGACAAATAAAAATTCTGTATATTTTATTCTCTTAATTTATGTTTTGCATTGATGAGTAATAGAATAAATCAGAATCCCCAAAAGAGAAATTTTGACTTTAAGGCTGATTGATTACAATCAGTTTTTCGAGAAATTTTAAAACATTGAATATAATTAGTTATAAAAATTGTATGAATGTAATTGATATAAATAAATGTGTTTTTGTAATAAAATGTTATAAGTGGCAAAAACATATTATACTTTTTTTTTAATTGTTTGAGATTTTTAATTTTTACTGTTTCCAAATTTTATCAACTTTCCTTAAAATTTAAGCTGCCAACTAGAAAACCAAAACATTTTCCTGACTCTGTGCCCATTTTATTGTTATACATTCAATTTTGTTATATATTTAGGAATTTTGATTACTCTTCTTTTTAAAATTTAGGTGTGATGTCAGCTAGAGGATTACTTCAAAATCCATCTCTTTTTACTGGGACTGAAATTACTTCTGCTTGTTGCATTCGAGACTGGATTAATTTGTCTGTATCATTTGGAACATCTTTCACTAATATGCATCATCATTTAATGTTTATGCTTGAAAGGGTAATGCCCAAACATGAAAGAAAGCTTTTTAACTCATATACTGCTTTAGCATCAGTTGTTGATCATCTAAACTCATATACGGCTTTAACTTCAGTTGTTGATCATATGAATTCATATACTCAATAATTTTTAAAAAAGTGCTTTTAAATATTGGATTCAAATTTTATAATTGCTTCAAATATTGCCAACATGGAAATGTTATGCATCTAATTTTAGTTCAGCATTTATCTGTATAATGCAAAATTTCGAGTTTCTAGGAATACTGTAATGTGCAGATAGCAAAGAGTAAGCCGTGAAAGCATATTGAAAATTTAACGCCTTGTAGACAAGAACTAATTTAAGAAAATCTGGTACCATACAGAACATTTTTATACCAATAATAATCTAGTATTTTTTGCCACCTGTTCTTGATATAATTTATTTTTCATTTCTTAATTAGCAAAACATGACCTACTTGTGTAATATTTTTATTGCTTCATCTTTTTCGTTTTAATAGGAAGTAAGAGTTCATGTTTTCATTACATTTTGTTTTGATAAATTTTACTATTTTACTATTTTTTTAATAAGCAGTAAGAGCATGTGTTTCAGAAATTTAAATAAAGTTTGCCTTTCTGTTCTAAAATTTTGTGCTGTAGACCTCCCATTTGGGGCAGTTGTTATTTTTCCCAGATTGTTTTATTACATTTTTTAAGTTTCTTTGTTACTTTCAAGAAAATTTTCCCGTATATTAAACAAAGTTAAATATTGGAATAAGTGCCTCAAAATGAAAGTAAGTTTCATGGAAATTCTGCATTTTCTATTGTAATTTATGAAAGTGCAATAAATAGTGAAGATTCATAAAGACTTTATGTGTGAGCAAAAGGACAAAGCACTTAAAAGGCATCTTTCCTTATCCCTTTCTTGAAATTTCAAATTTTATATTCTGGTATTGGATCTCCTAATTTTATGTTTTTCTTCTTCATAAGATCCACAGCCTGTTACAGGCAAGACTGTCTCTCCACGTTTCCTCCACCTGACCCCATTCAGCGCAATAGCCTTCCATCAGTTAACTCCAATTAACCTTAAATCTTGGTCGACATTATCTATCCATCTAGTGGGTGGTCTTTCTTTTCGTCTTACTCCCTCAATTCTCGAAAAGGTTATCTTTTGGTTGGAAATGCATCATCATATCTAAACACATGGCCCAGCCATCTGATACTAGATGCCTTTATGATTCTCACAATATCATTTTCACCATATTTCCAATATTTTCTATATAGTTCATGATTACAGAGAATTCTCCACATACCATTTTGTTGTACCAGTCCAAGCCAGGTCATCAGGAATGTGTCAGTCCAGAAGGTTCCTTTTGAGATTTCTGAATCAAGTTTTTACATGGCAAGGGGATTGGCCTTCCACTCAACCCCCAACCTGGAGGGCCAGGCCTCCATTTTTATAAACCCCTTGGAGGGAGGGATGCCCAGCTATAACCCCCAGACACTGGGTACCCATTTTAGTCACCTTTTATGACATGCATGAGCTACATTGGGACTATTCTTTCACACCCGGTCACCACACAGTTTATGTTTATCACCGGTCAGTTTTATGTTTTTCATGTCAGCCAAATATGTATTAAAATTAATTATATTTCAGTTGTTTATAGGCAGTTTAGAGCTCAAAAGGAGGGAAATAATTATTTAGCATTTCAAAATAATGGATTCTTACAGTTTTCTATACATTAGGTTAGAGATAAAATTTGGCCATAATTTATGGTGAAATTGTTGGTCTTGTCTACAAGGTGTTAAGGTAAGTTTAATAATATATGTATCAAAAATTTTGGTTACATAACCTGTTTAAAGATATCACTCTTGCATTTAAGAATCAAAATATGGCTTCGTATGATTTTAGATGAAAATTAGTTTTCGTATAGGAGTGATGTATGAAAAGTATTGGATGAAACAACTGGAGTCAAAATTTAAGATTACAATTGCATTATATTATCTGGAGAATTTTTAATCCCTAAAATATATTCATTTAATCCAGTTAATTTATTTTCCTGAAACAGTCTCATAAAGTGTAAATAATGCTGAAAAGCAACGAGATATGAATTGTCTGCAATATTTTCATTAACATAATGTAATTTTAATTACATTATCGTAGCTTCAACTTTCCTTTCAAGCCAAAGTGATAAAAATGCTAAATTCTTTGTTCTTCAGAAAATGCATTGGGAAGTAACAAAAATTTCCAAGGAGCCTGTTTTTACATATTGCAGACAGATTTATAGGGTCATAATAGTGAAGGGCCCCAAAATCATCGACTATTTTTTAATTATAACATAATATATACATAATATAAATAAAACATAATATAACATAATATAAACATAATCATGTCTTAAATTGAAGGGCCCTAAATGTTCAGTTTAGGTGCCCCCATTTGTTTTTAATCTACCACTCTTACTGAAAACATTTACCACTAAGATTCCAACTTACCTTTTTTAAAAAAATTTATTTTATTATTCTGATTAAAAATTAGGCACCTATATATTTTCCCTGAAGTTTGTGCTTTGTAATTTGATCTAGTTTTCCTTACTTTATGAAGTGCTCTTATGTTATTAGTTACACATTGTAGCAATCTTTTCAAATATAGAATGGCAAAAACTAATTGAAATAGTATTAGTTCTGCAAAAACTGTTTTCTTGAAAATTACATAGATAGAGATTTGAATGTGATTAAATGCATACCTCAAGCTCTTCAGAAGTGGGAGACTTCAGTTCTTCCAAATTAATAGCTAATGATGTACAAATGTTTGATAACTGACCTTTCTTTAATAAGAAATTTTTTATAATTTTCATATCCCTGCTGCTTGAGTCCTACAGTATTGGACTGTATTTATAAAATTATATAGGAAAAAAAAGTACAGAAAAAGTTATTTTCCATAAAATATGCAGTGCTACTTAGTGATAGATTCTGAAGTTGCTGACTGATGTAATGAAAATTGAAAATTGTTCTGTAGATTCAGCTTAGCTGCCAACTCTCTCAGTTTTTCATTACATTTCTTGTGTCTCCCAGTTTTTAATTTTTAGTGTGTTCTAATAAAAGTGTTATTCTGCAGATAAGTGAAATTTATTGAATTAATAACATTTAAATTATACAAATTGTATTACCCACCCCTCGTGATGTTCAGCCTAATTTTTCTTATTAAATTTTATTTGATCTGAATTATATTAATCTACTGTGAATATGTGTATAACTTTATATGAAGATTTAACCAATTTTTAATCAATAAATATTTGTATTTAATTTTGTTTTGCATTGGTATATGGTATGTTACTGAACTTATCCACACAATAGTGTGAATATTTATTATCAGTTTTAGCTTCATTGTCTTTAAAAGCACTTTGATAAATTAAAGCTTTCCTTCCTTACTCAGGATTTTGTTAGTATGAAAGTGTTGATAAAAATACAAAATAAAATTTAGCCAAAGACTGTAAAATTTAGAAAATGGTATTAAATATTTGCATATTATAAATAGTTAAATAAACAGAACATTCTTCTAAAGCAGATTTAAGTCAATTTCCAATTTTTTTGACATGATGCTGCTGCACAATGCAAAACCTTCTCGGAAACTAACTAATATTACTAACTAATAAAACTATTATAAACTAACTAATATAACTATATAGCAAAAAAACTAACTAATATCTTAACATTTTATTACTTCCATTTATTTTTATTTATCCTGTTTTTGCCTTTCGAAAGCCTTCAACAAACCTTATAGAATGGTATACACTATTTGCAAAAGAGAGAGAGTGTGATTAAGAATGAGAACAATTTAATGAATCATTGGTTTGTTCTGTAGTAATTTTTAACTTAGAATAATGCTTATCCGAGCATGATTAATAGTTTAAATATCAATGCCATAAACGGAATTTAACTTTTGTAATGGGAGAGATTAGTACTGTAATAGTCCATTGTTCCAACTTTATTTGGAAAACTGCATGATGCATTAACTTTCAGTCTTACTTTTGTCAGCTTTAATATTTTCTTTAAAATGTATTAAATTTAGTTATTTCCCTATTAGGAAAATAATTAGTCGATTTTTTATATTATTTAAAGGGATAGAAGCCTCACAGATATTCGAGTCTAGCCTCAGATCTCCAGTAGCTGTACTGCTGAGAAGTATAAATTTACAAATGGCTTAGAAGCCGATTTTTTATACCAGTTTTTGAAATTATGTAAGACTTTGATATTTCTAACTTACTAAAAAGGAAATCATGAAGCAAATATAAATAGTAAAGTGAGATATTAAGAAAAATCTTAAAATAATGACTTGAAAGATATAGTCAGATTACTTAATTTTCAATAGAATTTCTGAAGAAAACAGATTATTCATCAAACTTGTGGTACAAAACAATAATCCTAACTAGTTTACAGCAAAAATTAAAAGGGTGTGAGCAAATTTTAGATCTGCAATGTGTATACCATATTTCTTCATTTCTAAGGTATCATTGATTCTAAGGCACAACGGTTACCATAAACACAAAAAAGAACTGTGACTCCAAACCGATCAAATAAATGTAATTAAATGTTCAAATGAATCTAAAAGATACTTTAATACTCGATTTTGATTTCTTAATAACAATAAAATATGTTTAAAGAAATGTTTGGGGAAATTAAGTATTTTGGAATAACTAACAATTTAGAATATATGCAATTCTAACACACCACCATCGATTCTAAAGTGCACCCTATGTTTAGCGACATTTATTTGGGGGGGGGGGGAGATAAACTGCATAGAATCAAAGAAATAAGGTATTATACATGCTCCTTAAAAGTAGTAAAATTACAGTCCTTTTCCTTCAGTGACATGTCATGCTACTGTAAGAGTATTGTCAAATTTTAATTTAAAAGCGAATTTTCATACATCGGTTTTGATTTTTGTTTTCTTTCAATTAATTGTTTAGTACTTTTGTTTCGTTTTGGCATCCGTTTTAATTAGCTAGGAATTAATGACAATTATTTAGAATTAAATTTTGTAAAATCATTTTCATTTTATTAAATTAAAGGTAAGTTCATCGAACATGCTCAGCATTGGAACTGCATCGTCAAGTAGGAAAAACCGTAAGATTATGCAAATTAGGAGAACAGTGGGTATAGCTAAGACATGCAAATGGTCACACTTTTAAGAATGTAGCTTTAAATAGGGACATTTGCGAAGTATTAAATGATTTAAAAAAAAAAAAAAAAAAAAGACTGATGGAATGCAATTTTTTATGTCACATTAAGATTTCAGAAACGCGATTATGCCCTGTGATTTGATATTTCATTGCCTCGATTTCATCAACGTGCCACTTATCGTCAACTATCGCAAGCAGAGATATCAGTCTTTCAGTTCAGATATTTTAGTTTGTCACTCCAGTAGACCAGTATGCTTTTAGACTGACATTTCAGTACTGTCCAACTTTAGTATTTCCCAGTAGTCCTAAGAACATTGACACACTCAGATTACAGTAAGCACTGGCCAGAGGCAAATAGGAAGTAGTTGGTCAGACCGATCGTTGGTTTAAAAGAGCGACGCGTTGTGATCTATACTCTGTTGCCCGAAAAATTGGATGCTGCATGCTAAAGCTGAGAAAGTTCAGCGGCGTTTTTACCTTACATCACCGAGATTGCAGCTTTCCTTTTTCGCTGTATGTGGCTAGAAGAATTGACCTGGATGACTTCACACGTTAAAGAATGATCGGAAAGCTGGAGGAGGGACGTAGTGTAATCAGTGCAGCTGAAGAGTTCGGAACCAACAAAAGAGTCGCTTCACGTGCTTGGAAAGCCTTCCAAACCATAGGTACAGTTGTTAGAAAGGTTGGCGATGGCCACCTCAGGAAAACAACTGCAGTGAATGACCCTGTAGAGACATTAGGCATTTTGGAAGCAGGAGAAATGAAAAATGAGCAACGGCTTCGCCGGGAATCAAATCACGGACGTCAGGAATACGCGCCCAACTTGCAGACCACCACACTACGAAGGCATGCCAAGAAAGCGGGAAAAATACCTTATATATTTCAACTTTTAAAGGACGACTTGAGTTTTTAGGGAACTCAATCGCCAAATCCTGGGTGTGGAGAGTCATCATCCACCACCTTTTTTTAGGTCTGGCGCCACTGTTGAGACATTAGGTATTTTGGAAGTAGGAGAAATGAAAATTGAGCAACGCCTTCGCCAGGAATCCAACCGCGAACCTCTGGAATACGCCCCCAGCGTGCACACCACCACACCAAGAAGGCAGGAGAAATACCTTATAACCGATATATCGTCCTGCAGGCGAAAAGAGCCCGAAACCAGTTAGCAAGCTCCATAGCTCAGCAACAGAGCGACAAATGTCGCGGTTTACTGTGTCCAGACGCCTTTACAAAGCTGGCCTATTCGCTCGTCGTCCTGAACGCTGCATCCCTTTGAAAGTTGGCCACCATTTAGAGTTGTGCAAGGAACACAAAAACTGGTCATCTCATCAATGGAGTCGTGTCCTCTTTACAGATGGAAGTCGTTTTAGTGCCACAAGCGATTCTCAACGCCAGTTGATTTGGAGAGAGGTCGGGACACGGTTTCATCCCAGTAACATCACAGAAAGGACCGTTACGGTGGTCCTGGAGTTCTCGTCTGGAGAGGCATTATGTCAGGAGGTGATCTTTCCCCATGTGCGTCTGTTCCGAGGTGCCATTGTAGCAGACTTCGTTTTTATGGATGACAATGCACGGCCACACCGGATTCCTGCTGTTTCGGAAGCTACTGGAAAGTGAAGTTATCACTCGAATTGATCGGCCAGGGTACTTCCCTGATTTAAATCCCATACAACATGTGTAGGATGCTTTGGGGAGACACCTTGCAGCACGACTACATCCTCCGGGGGAACACCCAACAACTGTGACAGATGCTGATTGAAAAATGGGCACTCTTACCTTAAGGTCTGTTGGACAATCTGGTGCTGAGTATGGAAAGACGGTGCGAAGCAACCTTTGCAGTAAGGGGAGGGCATATCCCATACTAAGGAACATCTGCTTGTTATTCTTCCTCTTGTACAGGCAATCGTGTAAAGATAATATGGGTTCAATAAAGCCTTTTTTTGTTTGATTCCATACTGTATGCATTGTATTCATTTTTGCGCAACTATGCTTTCCTCATCCTTTAAATACAAACTGCTGTCTCTCTGAACCTTCTTTATTTATAGTAGATGGCAGCTCAACACAAACCACCATATATCTATTAGCCATGTTTAGTTTTTTAAGACCCTCATTTTTCAAAGAAATCTTCCATCCACCAGATTTTTTTAGGGTATAAATGAATTGTTTGAAAAGAAATTTCTGTATTATTTTTGGGCTGTATGCTAATCTCCTTATTCTATATTAATTTTAAATCTTTACCTTGAAATTTTGCCTAAAATCAAACGGCGAACCCTAGGTGTGCCCAGAACGGGCTCACCGATAATCTAGGACAACTGAGAGTCTGTATTCTTTGTTTCACCGCATCTCATCGGTCAGTTCATTGACAGCGATGTTCGTTTCAGCACTTTTTTCGAAGCTCTATTCAATCAGTGTGCCCACAGAATTAAAACGATAAGTGCTATCTTCACAAAATTTTACTTGTGTACTCTAGGCTTAATTAGACTGCCTACCTTTTTTTTTTTTTAATTAAAACTCCGACTGTAAAAGGTAGCGTGCCGGAAAGGGTTAATCATCGAGGTTTTCCGCATTTTCCAATAACCAATGAACGTCTTCTTACATATTGCATCCATACTGCACGTTAAAAACACAATAACTCATTTCTTCAAATTTTTAAAACCAGCTGTTTTTTCATTTTTAAACGTTAATGTGTTTTCTGGTAATGATCTGTAAAACAGACCAGTTTCATTTGTATTATAAATTTCGTGGTTTTCTCTATATACAGGATGTTTCATAAATTATGGGACAAACTTGGAGGGGTGGTCGAGCGTACTAAAACATGCATTTTTTTTTATAGGAATATAGGGTCTAAAGTGACGGGTTTAAGGCAGGAACGCAAAAAAAAAAAAAAAACGACACGAGAGAAAAATGTATTTATGTACAAAATCAACGCAAAGTGCTTCTTTGTAACAATAGAGTATTCACAAATAAATGTTCAAAATTGCGACCACCAGCAGTAACACATGCTTGGTAACATCGCAGAAGGGAATGACGAACATTTTCAAAAACGACAGGCATTTCGCGCACGCGTGCAGCCGCAATGGATAGTCGTGCGACGAAGTCCTCCAGTGAGTCAACGGCAGTATCGTAAATGA